CATAATGATAAATGATGGTCCTTATAAAAGCTGATTCCCTTTGAAATACAGGTTTTTGTAATTATGAACTTAAAAGTAGTTTAATGTCAGAATTGCCCAGTGTATATGGAATTCTAACACCATTCTTCTAAGGCTTTGAGAGCTTAAATTCAAATCAGTGTTTAGTGTAATTATTCATAAAGAAGTTTTTATATCTGATGCCATGGGAAAATCTGCAGTGTTTCATTATTTGATATTCTCCTAATTAAATTTTACGGTTAGAGTAGATTACAGACATTCATTTCAATCTTCTGGTTGGTGTGTTCTAGTTGGTATCTTCATTGACATAACTGCTCCTCGAACTGTTCTAGCAAAGATGAACCCAGGTACTTTATAAGATAGTGTAATCTACTTGTGAATAGTTCTGGTGGTTAGGAAATGTGGGAAATTTTGTTCCAAAGTCTAGCATCTTATATCTTTCCAACTATTTGTCCTAGTTCTATCCTTTCAAACAAGATAGATTTTCTACTTAGTTTATCACATGACAGTCCATCAAAATAGCCAAAGGTTTCTATAATTTCCTTTGAGTCTTTCCTATTCTGGACTTGAGGTCCGTAGTTTGATTTATTTATACTCATGTTACATGAGGTTCTATCAGGATTACCTTCTTCTGGTTATATTTCATTTTTTTTAGGGTCTTAAATTTTTCCAAATTGAACAGAGTACTTCAGAATGTGAAGTGACCTATATAATATGTGATGGAATGGTTACTTACTTTATACTGGGATACTTAAATATATGCAACCTAATTTCCTTAATTTTGAGGAAGCTCTATCCCACTATTAGCTCATTCTTGACATAGAGTCATCTAAAGTCCCTTTCCACAAAAGCAGTGAATAAGTTCACATCCTCTAATCTGTTCTTATTGCAGTTGAGCTTTTTAAACGTAAATGTTTAGATTTTACAATTGCCCCTGTTATGTTTCATCTTCATTGTGCTCATTGTTTTAGTTTTTTAGTGAATTTTAACATGCTAATTTGTTTTTAGCATACTAGTTGTGTCTCCCAAGTGTGTATAATTTGAGGGTTTCTTAACAGGATTTTATTATTATTTTATTATTATTTTTTTATTATTTTTATTATTATTTTATTATTATTTATTATTATTTTATTATTAATTACTATATGTAGGGCACTGGACACATTTCTTTTGTTATGGTATTGATAGTTTTTTTTTTGAAGGGGGTGCACTTTAGAAGTTTATTCTGGTTAAAAGTTTCCATGAATGTCCTAGTTAACTTAGGAAAAGAAAAGGAACTTGCCTTGCCCCAGCATAATAAAACACTTCAGTAATTGTGAAAACATAATGATACTGGTTTAAGAACAAATAGACTACTGGGGCAATATAGAGAACTCAGAGCCAGATTCATTTATTTGTTGAGAACTTATTAAGATAATAAGTTCTTATTAATAATAAATAAAAAAATTTTTTTAAGTTTATTTATTTTGAGGCAGAGAGAGAGTACCAGTGCATAAGCAGTGGTGGGGAGGGGGTACAGAGAGAGACAGAATCCCAAGCAGACTCTGCTCCATCAGTGCAGAGCCCAAGGCAGGGCTCAAACTCACAAATTGTGAGATCATGACCAGAGCCAAGATCAAGAGTCAGATGCTTAACTGACTACACCACCCAGACGCCCCCCCAAAATGGCATTTTTATTTGATTGTTTATGTATAGACATAAATAGATGGTATGGGACAACTGGCTTACTATATGGGGAAAAATAAGACTCCTTATATAACACTGTTTATAAAGAAAAACCTCAGATGGATTAATGACCAAGATAATGTAGATAAAACTATAACATTAATAAAACATAATGCATCTTTGTGCCTTAGTATTAGAAAAGTATTTAAAACATCAAAAGCATGAAACCATAAGGTGAAAAATGATTCATTTGTTGATACAACATTAAGGATTTCAGTTCATAGACATAGACATTGTCAACAGGCATACAGCATTTGGAAGAAGATAGTTGCAATGACTAAACCTGTTAATGAATCAATATCTGGAATATCGAAGAAACTTCTTCAATTCAACAAGAAGACTGGGGCCATAAATGAAAAATGAGCAAAGGAAACAAAAGGAAATTCACAAAAGAAGAAACACAAATGCATGAAGGGATGCTCAAATTCATTAGTAATAGGAGAAATCTCAATTAAGACCATTTAGTTTGGGGCCCCTTGGTGACTCAGTTGGTTAAGCGTCGACCTCAGCTCAGGTCGTGATCTCACGGTTCATGAGTTCAAGCCCTGCATTGGATTCTCTGCTTCCGATCCTCTCTCTCCCTCACTCTGCCCCTTCCCCACCCGTGTAGTCTCACTCTCTCAAAAATAAACATTAAAAAAATAAATAAAACCTTTTAGTTTTACCTGCTAGTCTAGCAAAAATTAGAAAGCATAACTACATAACGCCAAATCTTGTCTGGGATATAGGGAAATAGGAACCTCCAGGAATGTGGGTTGTGGAGCCACTCTGGAGAGCAATTTGACAGTTCGTTTAGTTGATAAAATTCACTTGGACCTAACAATTTTGTTCCTGAGTGTATAACCAGAGATTAAGTCTCACTTAAGTCCATAAAGGGACATAGTAAGAGATATTGCATTGCTTATATCATACTTGGTGGCTGCAGTTAAAGTCTGCATCGTTGGGTGACAACATATGAAGTATTTTGCATCAATCAGAAACAATGAACTAAGTGTCCCACAGCAATATAAATACATTTTATTATTATTATTTTAATGTTTATTTTTGAGAGAGAGAGAGAGAGAAAAACAGAGAGACAGAGCACGAGAGGGGCAGAAGGAGAGGGAGACACAGAATCGGAAGCAGGCTCCAGGCTCTAAGCTATCAGCACAGAGCCTGACTTGGGGCTCAAACTCACAAACCATGACATCATGACTTGAGCCGAAATCGGACACTTAACCAACTGAGCCACCCAGGCACCCCAATATAAATACATTTTAAAAACCTAGTGCCAGAGAATAAAGAAGGGAATATATACAAATAGAAGGATGTTCAAACACATTAGGAGAAAATAATTTATGAAGGGGACAGGTGCTTAGGAAATGAAGGTGGAAGGAAAGAAGAGATGTCTTACATAGATGAATAATGATATGAATTGAGGAGTATGATTTTTTTTTAATGTTTATTTATTTTTGAGACAGAGAGAGACAGAGCATGAACAGGGGAGGGTCAGAGAGAGAGGGAGACACAGAATCTGAAGCAGGCTCCAGGATCTGAGCTGTCAGCACAGAGCCTGACGCGGGGCTCGAACTCACAGACCGTGAAATCATGACCTGAGCCGAAGTCGGACGCTCAGCCTACTGAGCCACCTAGGCGCCCCTGAGGAGTATGATTAACATAACTTTTCATACCTAGGAAATAAAAATGGAGTTTAGGGACTTGTTTGGCAGTGATATGTAAGTTGTGTTTGAGAAGAAAAAAAAGGCATAAAAACGAAGAGACTTAAAATAATCCAGGTACTGGGATATGAGGTTGTAATTTAGAATGGTGATAATTGGAAATGAACAGAACATCCTTAAGATGTTTTGTCACAGCTATTTTAATCTCCACCATTTTGATCCTGAGAGTGCTTTGATTGGGTTGTTAGGATTTGGTAAGCTTAAAATTATACCAGTTTATTGTTGAGTAAAAATTTGACAAAATAGTCAAAACATTCTTAAATATTAGATCTGTATAGTTTCATCTAAGAAACTGGACTTGATAATGGCTGCAAAAGAAAATCTTAAATGGCAGAAAATCTTTGAAATTTGTTTTCTATATAAAAACTGATCAGTGAAGCAATCGCTCTAGAAGAATTTGCTCTTCTAGAATTTGCTCTAGAAGAGGCTTGGTCTTGATTTAAATAGTTTCAGCAAATTTACTCTAGAAGAGTAAATTTTTTTTTACTCTAGAAGAGTCTTGGTCTTGATTTAAATGGTTTCAGCAAGATGAAATTGAAGAAGGGAAAAATGGAAATTTTGAGCATGTGGAAAATTGCTCTAGGTATCAGGTCAGCTTACTATGTACCAGAAAATGCCTTTTTCTCTCCTTTCTCTCCTACCTACCCATAGGCTAGAATTCAGTATTTTTCTTTCCCATTTATTACATTTTTAAGTGTGTTGTAAGTTTTACCAGTAATATGTAAGTACATTCTCATCATAATATATTTAGATTATTTAAGCAAAATAAAAAAATCATTCTTCACTTCTCTCTTCAGAGGTAACCACTGTTACCTATTTGGTACATATCCTTCTAGATATCTTTCTACTGCTTTTACAAATAATGTGTGCACAAAAATAAACATTGATTTGTGGATATTTAGTATTATTCTCACTATATTCCATTTTTTTTTTAACGTAAAAGTCTTGAATATCTTTCCATGTAAGTATATATAGGATAAAAATGTTTGCTAGGTAAAAACAGGCTTCAGTATATTCTTACTGGCTAGATAACGTAAGGATGATTTGGGGAGTTGAAAGGATTGAGGGGAGTATATGTGTGTTCTCAAAAATCTCACAGTCTAGTAGAAGTGAAGCCTATAATAATTATAATGCATTGGAGTAAATGTTCTAATAGATATATGTATTAAGGTGGTATTTGAGCACAGAGGGAAGAGCATCACTCTTTTGATAGAGAAATTAATGTGTCAGGTAGTACTCAGAAATGGTAAAAGGGTTTTAGGATCATTTTCTAGGGATAATATTTTACAGGTCTACTGTGGCCCAGAACAATTTAAGTAATTCACTAGATTCATTTCTCTGTCTTGTGAAATTTGTATCACTTGCCAGAAATTATTCTTTCTGGTGTCCTAAGGTATGGTCCTGAAAGTAGTATCTTTATCATGAATGATTGTCTTTTAGAATTTTGGCAGCTTTAAATAGTTCAGGAATTACTTTAGTTAAATGCTTGTATTTCATCATGCAGAGGATTATGTGAATGTATTTTTTTCCTTTTTTTAGAGAGGTGGTTGACTCAATGGTTCAACATTTTAAAGTGACTATATTTGGGGATCGTAGACCAGTTTATGATGGAAAAAGAAGTCTCTACACAGCCAATCCACTTCCTGTGGCAACTACTGGGGTAAGATGCAGTTCTTTATTGGAAAGTTATACTTTGGTGATGTCTCCTTTTTTTTTTTTTTTTTTTTTTTTTTAATTTTTTTTTCAACGTTTATTTATTTTGGGGGGACAGAGAGAAACAGAGCATGAACGGAGGAGGGGCAGAGAGAGAGGGAGACACAGAATCGGAAACAGGCTCCAGGCTCTGAGCCATCAGCCCAGAGCCCGACGCGGGGCTCGAACTCACGGACCGCGAGATCGTGACCTGGCTGAAGTCGGACGCTTAACCGACTGTGCCACCCAGGCGCCCCGATGTCTCCTTTTAAATGCACTTACTACATTTTATTACAGTCCATAGATACATAAGAGTGTATCATTTATCTTTTTTAACTTTTTATTTTGAAATAATTTAAAACATATAGAAAAGTTGCAAGAATCATTCAAAGAACTCATATAGACCCTTTACCCAGATTCACCAATGTTCCCTTTTTTCCCCCCAGATTATCTCCACAGGCACATTATTATTTTTTTAAGTTTACTTATTTATTTTGAGAGAAAGAGAGCATAAGTGAGTGGGAGAGGGGCAAAGAGAGAATCCCAAGCAAGCCCAATGCAGGGCTCAAACCCACAAACTGTGAGATCATGACCTGAGCTGAAACCAAGAGATGGATGCTCAATTGACTGAGCCCCCCAAGGGCCTCTCACCAGTGTTACACAAGTGTTCTTTCTTATCAGTGGATCATATCAGGATACATTTATATGTGTTTGTTCCATTAATGATGGTACTAAGTTGATCACTTGATTAAGTTGGTATCTGCCAGGTTTCTCCTGTCAAGTTTTTTTTTTTTTCTCTTTAACTCTTGTGGGGAGATTTTATTTTTAATTGTGCTAAAATACACATAACATAAAATTTACCAGCTGAGGGCTACTGGGTGGCTTAGTTGGTTAAGTGACTTCATTCAGCTCAGGTCATGGTCTCATGGTTTGTGAGTTCGAGGCCCACATTGGGCTTGCTGCTGTCAGTGAAGACCCTGCTTTGGATCCTTTGTCTCGTCTCCCTCTCTCTCTGCTCTTCCCTTGCTCATTCATTCTCTCAAAAAAAAAGAAAAAGAAAAAAAGAAAATTTACCTTCTGAGCCATTTTTTAGGTCAGGTCAGTTTAGTGGCATGAAGTACGTTCTCAGCCATCACCACCATCTATCTCCATAACTCTTTTTATCTTGTAAAACTGAAATTCTGTACTCGTGAAACACTACATCCCCATTCTTCCCTCTCCTCAGCCCCTAGCAACCACCATTCTACCTCTGTCTCTATGACTTTGACTACTCTCAGTGGCTCATCTAAGTAGAATTATATGGTATTTGTCTTTTTGTGACTTATTGCACTTGGCATTATGTCCTCAAGATTCATCCATGTTGTCACGTATGTCAGAATTTCCTTTTCAAGGATGAATAATATTCCATTGTATGTATATACCACATTTTGTTTATCCGTTCATCCATTGATGAGTACCTTTTGGCTATTGCAAACAATGCTGCTGTGAACACGGTTGTACAAATATCTGTTCCGGTTCCTGCTTTCAGTTCTTTTGTGTATAAGTGATAATTCTGGGGTGCCTGGGTGGCTCAGTCGGTAAGTGGTAATTCTATTTTTAATATTTTGAGAAATCACCTTACTGTTTAGTACAGTGACTGCACCATTTTACATTCCCACTAACAATGCATAAGGGTTCCAAATTCTCCACACCCTTGCCAACACTTGTTTTCTGTTTTGTTTTTTTTTTTTTTGATAGTAGCCATCTTAACGGATATGAGATTATATCTCATTGTGGTTTTGATTTGCATTTCCCTAATGATTAGTGAGTTGAGAATCTTTTCATGAGCTCTTAGAAGCTCATTTGTATATCTTCATCCTTTGCCCGTTTTTTAAATTGCGTTTAGTTTTTGTTGTTGAGTTGTAGGGATTCTGTATATATTCTTATCAGATACATGATTTGCAAATATTTTCTCACATTTTGTAGATTGCCTTTTCACTTTGTTGATTGTATCCTCTGATGCACAGAAGTTTATAATTTTGATATGGGAAATACTTTAAGGATCTTGTTTCTCATTAGAGAAAGTATTTTTATTTTTTTGAGGGGTGGGGGAGCTGCGTGAGTGGAGGAGGGGCAGAGAGAAATGAAGAGAGAGAATCATTTTGGGGGCAGGGAAAGGACAGGGAAAGAAAATCTTAAACAAGCTCCATGCCCAGCACAGAGCCTAATGCAGGGCTCAGTCTCAAAACTATGAGATCATGATCTGAGCGGACAAGAATCGGATGCTTAACCGAATGGTCACCCAGACACCTCTCTCGTTAGATTTTTAAGTAATTGATGATTTTTGCTTGGAAGGATTATTACTATGTAGTAATGGTGATTTTCTAATTCTGTCATTCCTTCAACATTTATTAGTTGATATTCGACTATAAGGGAGAGAATTTTCTTCTCCCTAATATATTTCCCCTTATTTATTTCACTGTCCCAGTTTTCCTAGATTTGGCCATTGGGAGCCACTTTAAGCTAGTTCCTGTATCCCTTTGACATGACACACTTTTTTTTGAGTACTTCCTTATTTTCTGGCACAAGATGTTCCAGGCTAATCTTATGTTTTCCCTGCTATACCCATGCAACTGGCCCTTTGTCAAAGGAACAGTGATTTCTTTTGGTTGGAGGATGCAACTTAGAAACTGAAATCTGGGTACTGAATGTATTCATTGCTGCTGGAGTGCAGGTATTTGTAAAATGGACGGATGGGACATAAAAATACACAAATAAAAGACAATATATCATAAATATTATATGTCATGTAATGGACTTAACATATGTATCCTACAAATACTATTTACTGTGCAATATACAATATATATATTGGAAATCATGAGTTCAGAGTGATTCTTCCAAGTTTCAGTCTGTTTCCCCCAGGATTCTTTCTTTACTCCCCATGTTGCTTATTTGTATCTTCCTTCTTTTTTGAACCTCAAAATATCACCACTTTTACTCATTTGTTCAATCCTACCATATACATATAAAATCATATCTGAATTACTACACCATACCACTACAGAAAACAAACTTCCTCATTAGAGTTTAAGATTTTATTTTGTATGCAGTTCTTTCCCACGTGTACAGCCCCCAATATGTTCTGTGTTCAAGAGTTCATTGTATTTTTTCCCCCTTCTTTCAGTGTGGTTATGTTATTCATTTGAAACATATTTGGTTCCATTTGATTTTGTTTATATTTAGTTTTAATTTTTTCACTTCATTCTTCTTGATTTTGTTTTTAATTTTTAACTTATAAAACTTTGTTAAAAAAAAAACACAAAAAGGGGTACCTGGGTGGCTTGGTCAGTTAAGCCTCTGACTTCAGCTTAGGTCATGATCTCAAGCTTTGTAAGCTCGAGCCCCCGTCGGGCTGTGTGCTGACAGCTCAGAGCCTGGAGCCTGGTTTGGATTCTGTGTCTCCCTCTCTTTCTGCCCCTCTCCCACTCACAGTCTGTCTCTCTCTCTCTCAAAAATAAATGAACATTAAAATAAATAAATAAAAACACAAAAAAACCCCTTATTTAATATGCTTCCAGAAGTCAAAACTGTACTGAGAAATATACTCAGAATTGTTCATTCCTCCTTTATTTCTTCTGGTCTGTTCCTTCCCATCCTTTGAAAGTAATCCATTTCTTTGTTTCTGATTGATGCTTCTTACATTTCTTTTTGCTGAAATAAGATATATGAATATTTTCCCATTTTCTCCTTCTTTCTCACACAAAAGATGGCATACTATTTGTAATCTTCTCTACTTTGCTTTTCGTACTTAACAGCATAGCTTAGAAAGTATCTATTGATTTAGCATTGAGGTTGGTTTTTTATATTTTCCCTGTTTTTTCTTAAATATTTTTATAACTTAAACCTAAAAATACTTATCTTTTTCAATTTATCAATTGACTGTTTTCCCATCAACAGGTAGATTTAGATGTTACTTTACCTGGGGAAGGTGGAAAAGATCGACCTTTCAAGGTGTCGATTAAGTTTGTCTCTCGGGTGAGTTGGCACCTACTACATGAAGTACTGACAGGACGGACCTTGCCTGAGCCGCTGGAATTAGACAAGCCAATCAGTACTAATCCTGTCCATGCTGTTGATGTGGTGCTACGACATCTGCCCTCCATGAAGTGGGTGCTTCTGGCTTTTTTTCCTTTTTAGATTTTAAGTGTGTAGGCTTTTTTCCCAAGAGTGAGTTGTGCAGGCTTCCTTTAATTAACCTTCACATGTTGTATATTTTGATGGCTTCATTTAGAGAATAGCACGCATACTAAGTTCATTGACATGAGAAGTAAGTTACAGAAAAAACTCTGATTTTTTAAAGTAAATGCACATTGTTAACTTAGCTATTCTAATAGATACCTCTTAGAAAAATGTCTAACCCTTTGTCTTAGAAGCTGTAAGTCTTGAATAACTGATATGTTTTCAGATATATTCCTATAGTTAAATCCCCTTGTTCTAAAGGTAATTTTGTTGTTTATACAATAATATCAATTTGTATTGAAATTGCTGTTCTCTTAATCATACTTCACACAAGTGTGTGTTTGTATTTGTGTGCCTGTATATATAGGGTCAATGTGTCCTTTTAAAGAAAAATATGTCTTGCAAACACATTTGTAGAAATAGCATTTTCTAAGATTGGAACTGGTTTTTCTTTTCATCTGTTTCTAAGAAAATATTTAAAAAAAAAAAATTTTTTTTTCAACGTTTATTTATTTTTGGGACAGAGAGAGACAGAGCATGAACGGGGGAGGGGCAGAGAGAGAGGGAGACACAGAATCGGAAACAGGCTCCAGGCTCTGAGCCATCAGCCCAGAGCCTGACGCGGGGCTCGAACTCACGGACCGCGAGATCGTGACCTGGCTGAAGTCGGACGCTTAACCGACTGCGCCACCCAGGCGCCCCGAAAATATTTTAAATAAAATTTATTCTTACCCAAACTAACAGTTTTAGGAATAGAGAATTTCAGTGAAGGATGCTGACAGGTTTGTTTTGTTTCTCTTAGAACGGCTGCTTTTTGCTTTTCACAAATTTGGGGAATATTTATTTTCATATATTCCTAATGATAAACATCATTATGATAAATTAAGTTTGTGTGCTCTAGACTTAACCTCTTCTGCAAATTTAAATACCTATATGGGAAGGAAAGGACTGAACATGACGTTTTAATTTTTGTAGATATACGCCTGTGGGGCGTTCCTTTTTCTCAGCTCCCGAAGGATATGACCACCCTCTGGGAGGGGGCAGGGAAGTATGGTTTGGATTCCATCAATCTGTTCGGCCTGCCATGTGGAAAATGATGCTTAATATTGATGGTAAGGGAACTAAAACCATATTCTGTATTGGGTAGTTGATTCCTGTATTGCGCACATGCACCTGTGTGTGTGTGTGTTTGTGTGTGTGTGTGCACGCGGTTTATATATAATTATATGTACTGGTGTCTTGAAGTTATATTTGGACATATATTAAGACAAAGTGGAAAAACTTTTGTGTTACATTTTATTTAGAAAGCCTTTCCACAGAAGTTGTCCTGGAATGCTACTAAGCGTGAAGTAAGCACATGAAAGCAAATATAGAAGCCTTGACATGATTATGTGAACAATCTCACTTTTGTCCATTTAATTCTTATTAATATTTCATTATGAAATACATGTTTTAAAGCAAGAGAAGTCTGTTGGTCATTTTGACCCCAGGTGTTATACCTACTGCTGATGCTTATAGTGGTACCAATTTCATTCTTATTTTTAGGTGTTTTCTATTAATGTTTTTGAGCATATTTAAAAGTAGGGAGAATAGTATGATAAACTACCACCTATATGCAAACTGTCAAGTTTGTAGAAATACCTTTACTCCTCAATTAGAGTATTTTTAAATCAGATCCCGGATAGCAAGTTTTTTTGTTTCTACTACTTAAGTATGTACCTCTAAAAACATGGGTGTTTCCTTACATAGTCATAATGCCATTATCATATGTAAGAAAATTTTAAGTAATCATTTGTAGCCTCTAATATTCTCTCCATAATCAGATTTCCTTGATCTCAAACATGTCTTTTTATAGTTACAATCCTAATTAGGATCCAAACAAGATCCATGTATCATGTTTGGCTGATCTGCCTTTTTAATGTAGTAGTCCCATTTCCTCCCTCTTGTTTTGTTTTTTCTTTTTTTTTTATGCCATTGACTTGTTAGAGAAATTCACTTGTCCTGAAGAATATTAAAAAATCCACATTTGTCTTCTGTTCTTGTGGTGTCATTGCTTTGTTTCTCTGTCCCCTATATTTCCTGAAAGTGAAGTTGGCCCTAGAAGTTTGATTCAATTCTGGTTCAGAATACTTCATATGTGCTTCATGTTATATCATATTAAGAGGCGCACAGTATCTAGTGGTTCCAGTTTTAGTGATGCTAAGATTGACCAGTAGGTTCAGAGATCAGTAGGCCTCATCTCTCCATTGTAAATTTCCCAGTCAACTTTTCAATGACTAATATTTTATTTAATGATCATTGTTACCCAAATCATTTATTTCACTAGGGATTACCAACTGGTATTTTTTCTCATTCTTTTATTCCTTTTGAATTAGATGGAATTCTTATGTGAAAAATCACAATGTCCTATTGGTAATTTAGTAGTCATTGGTAGCTTTTTTGCTTTCTGGGACAGTAGGATATTTCAAGCTTATCTTATATTTCCTACCCTGTACCTGGAATCAGCCATTCCTTCAAGGATCCCTATGTCTCTTCAGATCACTATATAGTTTCTGCATTATTTTCAGCTGCATCTACCATTGTGGGTATATGTCATTGAGGAGCTATATCTCAGAAGTCCTCTTTCAGTGTATATTAGAGCTGTTTTTATTTGCCATTTCAGAACATCATTTCATGTATATGTAGATCTTTAGAATAGCTTTCAGGACATAATGGGTCAAGGGCAAATGTGTTTGTAATTTTGGTCATTAGTGCCGAATTGCCCTTTTTAGAGCTTCTAAATATTGTGCATTCGAGAATGAGACTACCTGTTTTGTTATGTCTTTGCCACTAGAGGTGTCAAACTCTAGATTCTATTAATTGCATTTGCAAGAAACAGTTTCCTTATCTACTTTTATTTTGCATTTGACCATCTTTTCATATGTGTAAGGGTCACCTTTTTTTTTATTAGCTATTTATATCTTTTGCCTTTTTTCTTTCTGTTGGATTTTTGGTTTTCTCATTTACTGAGAGCTTTCTAAATTAAGGAGATTAACTCCTTGTGTCACGAATTGTAGATATTATCCCTAATTATTTGTCTTTAACCTTTGGTACAGTCTTGTTTTTATTTTTTTGCCATATAGAAATCTGTATTTGGTTGGGAGATGGTAAATACATACACACAAACACTTAAATGTATTAGTCATTTCTTTTATGACTTTTTAAATCCTATAGGGCTAGTCTCATTTTTCTCTTCAGGCTCTTCTAGGCTATCCTTACTTATTTTACCATGTAAACTTCAGGAACTTCTTACCTAGGTTCAGTAAGAACCTAGGTGTGGGAGGATGGGCTGTAATTTTTTTTAATGTTTTATTTTTATTTATTTTGAGAAAGAGAGCAAAAGCACAAGTGGGAGAGAGGGAGAGAGAGAATCTTAAGCAGGCTCCATGCTGTCAGTGTGGAGCTGGAAGCGTGGGGTCCAATCCCATGAACTGTGAGATCATGACCTGAGCCAAAATCAAGAGTTGGTCTCTCAACCAAGCTACCCAAGCACCCCAAGATGGACTATAATTTTTATTGAAATCTCATTACATTTAGAAATTGTTAGGACAAATTGGCATCTTTAAGATACTGAGTCTTTTCTATCCAAGAAAATGCTATACCTTTCTATTGGTACAACATTAGTTTTGTTTTCTTCAGGAATGTTTTAAAGTTTACCTTACATGAAAGTTGCATGTATCTTCTTGTTATTCCTAGATATTCCACCCCCCCCCTTTTTTGCTATTAAATGGGTTTTATAGATTCTAACTGGTTATTGTTTACATACATGAAGGCTTTTGACTTCTGTGTATTTTATGTCTGCCTTATTACATTTATGTTTATAGTAGTTATTCAGGTGGTATTCTTGGCATTTCTAGTTATAATCGTTTCATCTACAAATAGTGATAGGTTTAACTATTCCTTTGGATTTTTATACTTCTAATTTTTGTCTTATCAAATTATATTGACTAATTAGACAGCGTTAAGGAGTAGTGACTAGCAGGCATCCTCTTTACCTTAGGAATGCTTCCAATGTTTCTGCATTAACTATGATACATATATATGTATGTGTATGTATACGAGCATCTGATGATTCCTATTTTATTAAGTACTTTTTAAAAAAATGTTTTATTCATGTTTTGAGAGACAGAGACAGACCATGAATGGGGGAGGGGCAGAGAGAGAGAGGAAGACACAGAATCCAAAGCAGGCTCTAGGCTCCAAGCTGTCAGCACAGAGCCTGATGTGGGGCTCAAACTCACAAACCGTGAGATCATGACCTGAGCCGAAGTCAGACACTTAACCGACTGAGCCATCCAGGGGCTCCTTATTAAGTACTTTTAATCAATAATAGATAGTGAATTTTGTCAGATTCCTTTTCAACGTCTATGGAGCTGATAAGATATTTGTCTTTTAACAAACGTTGAACCGAACTTGTATTTCTGGATTCTTTTAATGTGATACTGTATTCTGCTTGCTAATATTTTGCCTTTTTAATCAAAATGCAAAAGTAAGTTTGACCTGATCTGTAATCTTCTTTTTTGTGTGTGATCTTTTTCAAGTTTTGGTATTAATCTTATATCTCATAAAGAATTTACAAGTTTTGTTTTCTAAAATGTACAACAGTTTTTAAATAGTACTAAACTTGTTAACTCTTTCAAGGTTTGATAGAATTCTCTTGTGAAGTCTGGTGTTGTGGTATGTTTTGTTTTCTTGATGTATAATAGCTTTTTGAAAATTGTTCCATTTGTTTTGTGAAAACTAGTTTTTTTAGGCTCAGTTTGTGGTTCAGATTTGGTAGATTTTATCTTACCAGAAAATTATTTTACCTGTATTTGATATTTTATAGAAAGTTTTACAAAGTCATTTCTTATTTTTTGAAATTGTGTCTACTTCTGTGGTTTCCTCCCCTTTCTTATTTTGTATATCTGTGTTTTGTCCATTTTACTCTTGATTAGGATGGAGTAGTTTAAACAACTGATTTCAGTGCCTCCCCAAACCCCCAGCAAAAGAGCTTTTGAATGTTTTGGGTTTTTTTTAAGCTCTCTGGCTTTCTGTTTTCTAACTCCTTAATTTCTGCTTTTAGCTTTATAAATGTTTTCCTCTACTTTTTTCAGTTACTTTAGTTGTTTTTCTAACTTTTTGAGCTATATTAGTAATTCATTTACTTTCATCTTTTCTTAATGATGAAAGTATTTAAAGTAATGAATTTTCTTCTGATCACTGTTTTAGCTACATCCCAAAGCCTCTAATATGTAGGATTTTTATTATTGTCCAGAAACACCACAAATTTCATTCATATTTTCATTATTATCCAAATATTACTTGAGATTTTTGAAATTTGCAGGTTGAAGATCTTTTTATTTTCTGTTATCCATTATTTATTTTCCAATTTTCTGATTTTCTTGGGTTGTTAATCAGAGGATATGGCGTGTATTTCCCCTATTAGAATTTGTTGAAGTATGTTTTGTAGTCTGATACATAGTCAATTTTTGTGAACGTTTAATAGCTATTTGAAAATAGGTATATTTATTTATTATGATAGAGTTAAATGAATATCCATCTGTGCTTACCATTTTGATTAGGTTGTTTAGATCATTTCTTAGTTACTTTTGTTTAATTGTTCTCTAAGACTAGGGGAAATAACTTAAAAATTTCTATTATTATTGTGTGTTTCTCCTCATATCTCCTGTGATTTCTGCTTTCTTAATGTTACTGCTACATTTTTAAGAGCATACAGACACACACACACACACACACACACACACACACACACCCCTGTTCATTGTGAATTGTACCTTTTACATGATAAAGTGAAATTTTTTTTAATTTTTTTTTTAACGTTTATTTATTTTTGAGACAGAGAGAGACACAGCATGAATGGGGGAGGGTCAGAGAGAGGGAGACACAGAATCTGAAACAGGCTCCAGGCTCTGAGCTGTCAGCACAGAGCCCGACGCGGGGCTCGAACTCACAGACTGCGAGATCATGACCTGAGCCGAAGTCGGACGCCTAACCGACTGAGCCACCCAGGCGCCCCAAAATGAATTTTTTTTTTTAACTTTGGGCCAAAAGTCTGCATTATCTAATGAAA